ACTAAAAAGATAAACACTCATTTTTTTCAGGATAAATCAGTGTAATGTTTAACAGGAAACAATTTAGCGTTCATGGTCTATGTGCTCAAAGTCACACAGACTCGGTTGTTTTTGAAAACTTAAAGGTCATCGTTTATTCAATAGAGTTCTTTTTTCAGTTTTTTACAACCACAATACATTAGATTTTAATATGAACCTGATTTAGAATGTTCTCAGTGTTGTAGTTCATATCATACATAACACTGCAGTTCACACATCATGGCGTCGCTGAAGCTGCTACCACGCGCTATGACACAAAGATTACAAAAGTTTATCTGACGGCAAATCATGAGACTTAATTAACTACAGCTTTGCTGAGCTATGACAGAGACCATGTCAGTAAATGTTTTAATCATAGGTTTATTAAAATCGTACATTACATGTCTGGCAGGCAATTGATAAAGCACAGAAGAACAAAAAAAAAAACAAAAGAAAGTCAACGATGACAAATGTCATTTCCATGATTATGCGACAAATCTGATCTGTTGACACTACACAAATGTGCCTGGTCATTAGTATTCAAATTATACATATCCATATATAACCATTGGTGAAAGATTCAAATCCTACTACCAGAATGAATTCTATTATAGAACAAAAGAAAATTTCCACATCCTGTGATTTACTGAAATATATATAATATATAGACCTCTAGCCATTCTGATTACTTCCTGTCTCACAGCCACATAAAACACGCACATGTGGCTCAACTTGTAATACATGACCAGCAACATATACAACAGGAAAGCCACTACCCAGATTCTAGTAGAACCTGACTATTTACCAAAACAATGTCAAACTTAATTCAAAACAACGAGTCTGAAGGCTTTGGTAAAAAAATACAACAAAACGGTAGGGAGGGAGCCTGTTGTTCAACTTACTCCTTTAAATGTTTAATACCAGGGGTAAATGGTGTATATGTTCATTTGTCCCTGAAGTCCTGTAAGGCATGATATGTTTTATCTTTGAGGACACGGTATATTACCTTAGAAAAACTAAGATGAAGAAACATATCACCTTTCAGGACTTAGGGGCTCCATGCATTGGTGGCAGCGTTGTCCAGCTGTAAGAAAACACTCACTATCTCAGCTTTTCCTGAGATTCTTCACCACAACACAGAACTCACATTTAACCTCACCTAACCCAGGTCGAACACCTCTTCCCATTTAAAAAAAATAAAAATCCCCAACTATATAAATGTCTTGTCTACCGTTACGTAAATTTACTGCTTCAAAAAATGGCATAGTGTAGCATTAATCCGTCCACGGGCACATCAAGAAATAACTTTCAATAAATACACACAGGAGATCTGTCTCAGACTATCGATTTGAGAGAGCGTACCTCTCATTAAATCAATTCTTATTCTCTTTCATGTATGTTTGCAGGTTT